CAAGAAGAACATACTACAACAGAATTCAATAGAAAGAATCGAACTAGGCATGGGTGACGTAATATACAACCCAAACAATAAAAATAATGGGAATAACCCACACAATCAGGGTGTGGCACCTCTTGTGCCAGAAGCAGCCTTGTATGATTGGGCATAACCCACCACTGAAAATCTGGCAACCGTAAGTGTAGTCCCTCAGATACAAGCGAAATCATTTCAAATCACAAACAACATGCTACATTTATTGCAGAACAAGAGACTGTTCTCGAGGTCTTACATTAAAGATCCTCAACAGCATCTAAAAAATTTCCTATCGATATGTGTCATGCAAAGGCAACCAAATGTGACACTGGAAGCAATAAGGCTGTTGTTGTTTCCATTCTCAATGATGGGAGAGGCTCAGACTTGGCTCAATTCGCTCCCCATAAACTCCATCACCACTTGGGAGGAATTGGTCAAGCAGTTTTTGAACAAGTTCTACTCACCCAATAAGACTGCCAAACAAGTTTATGAGATATTGAACTTCAAGCAGAAACCAGCTGAAACACTACAAGAAACATGGGAGAGATTAAAAGGTATGCTGGTTAAGTTTCCACATCATGGCATTCCAGATCATATGTTGGGGCAAAGGTTCTACATGAGATTGGCAGACAGCTTGAAAGCCAATGTTGATGCTTCAGCAGGTGGAGCATTTTTGAGTTAATCATTCAGGGAATGCAAGTCTTACTTGATAAAATGGCGCAAAACTCATGATGGATGACAAGAGACTCTACAATCACTCCTATAGTTCACTCAGTAGCTTTAGATCCAAAGAACTCCATGGCTGAGAATATGGCTAAGATGATGACGCAATTGAGTATCCTAACCAAAAAGATTGACGAATCAGGCTAGAAGCAAGTGCACATAGTTGACACAACAAATGGAGGATTATGCACACCATGCATTAATTAGCCATATGTGTGTGCGTGGAGTGGCTAAAGTGACAATCAGAACTATCAAGAGAATATGAACTATGTGGACAACTATAGAGGTCAGAGACAAGGCGATCAGACTTGGGGACAACAAATTCAACAATATAGGTCACCACTGTAGCAGTACAACAATAATAATAATAATCCTGGAGCTGCACAACCACAAGGTCAGGCTGTGCCTTATCAAAGGCAATAAGGGTACAATTAGCAGAATCAACAACTAGCTTATCAACAACCTCAACAGCAATATATACTGCGACAAGATGATGGGTTGTTTGAAACAAAAGGAATGTTGCAACAACTCATTGGGTCCAGCGGAAAAATGGAAGAAAAGGTCAACCAGATATAAGAAAAGTCACACCAGATGCACGAAAAGGTAGTATCACACGACTCAGCTATCAGGGGCATTTAAATTCAACTAAGGCAAATATCCATGGCCCTTAACAATCGTCCTCAAGGGATATTACCTGCTGACACACATGTTAACCCGAAAGAGCGGGGCCCAATGCAGCTGATGGCTGGGAGTCTGATAAATGGTTGAGATCTTGATCTATAGCAAGAAATTGCTCGCGAAAGCTGACCAACTGAGATACTTGTGCCAGTACCAATTGAGGTAGATGAGTCAACTGAGCTAACAAAGTAATAATCATCCAGCCCAGGAGGAAATAAAAAAAAATAGAGGTTGAAAAGGAGGCTGAGGGAGTGCAAGAGAAGGCAGTAGAAAAAGTGCACGAGCAGGATCTAACTCAAGTTACAGGGAAGAAGCGACTGCCAGCACCCTTCCTGCAGAGGTTGGCCAAATATTAAAAGGATGAGCAGTATAAGAAATTCATGGAGATGTTGAAGCAAATCCATGTCAACATTCCATTGATTGACGCCTTGAGGAAGATGCCTGGATATGCAAAAATGATGAAAGACTTGATGTCTCGCATGTTCGACTTTCAAGACTTGGCCACTGTTACACTAACTCAAACATGTAGTGCTGTCTTGACGAGACCCATAATTGAGAAGTTGTCCGACCCTGGGAGTTTCATAATCCCATGCACAATAGGCATCTATGCTTTTGCTAAAGTATTGTGGGATTTGGGGGCGAGCATAAACCTGATGCCCTTGGCTGTCTTTAAAAGGTTAGGCATTGGAAGAGCAAGACCTACATCCATGTTAGTACAACTAGATGACCGAACGGTGAAGAGGCCATCAGGTATGCTTGATGATGTACTATTACAGGTTGGAAAGTTTGTGTTTTCGGCAGATTTTGTCATTCTGGATTGCCGGGTTGACAGGGAGATTCCCATAATTTTGGGAAGGCCATTCTTGGCCACTGGAAGATCTCTAATTGATTGTGAAACTAGGGAGGTAAAGATAAGACTGAACGATGAAGAGGTAACGTTCAATGTGTAGAAGTCTATGTGGTGACAAACTGAATTTTCTTACTGCTCTCTAATAAAAATTGTAGATCTAATTTTGGAGGAGGAAGATAAGACTCTGAATGTTAAAGACGCTCTGACAACCTTCCTGATGAACTTAGAAGAGGTAGATGGTGAGGACTTGGCAGAGTGGGTTTTGGCTCTTAAAGGCCAAGGATACTGGAAAAGAGAGCTCGAATTCGAGCTTTACACTTAGAAGAAAGAAAGAACCCTCCAGCTAAGCCATCAATTGAAGAGCCACCAGAGTTGGAACTAAAACTATTACCGTCTCACCTCAGGTGTGCTTTCTTAGGAGCAAACTTGACTTTACCCGTTATTATCTCATCTAGTTTGTTAGATGTATAGGTAGAACAACTATTGCAGGTTCTGGAGGAGTGCAAAACCGCAATCGATTGGACCATTGTAGACATAAAGGGTATCAAGCCAACTTTTTATATGCATAAGATTCTACTGAAAGATGGGCACAAGCCTTCCAAAGAACATCAAAGAAGGCTGAACCCCAACATGAAAGAAGTGGTGAAGAAAGAAGTGATCAAGTGGTTAGATTTAGAAATCATTTTTCCCATCTCTGACAACAACTAGGCCAGCTCAGTTTAGTGTGTGCCAAAGAAGGGTGGAATGACTGTAGTGCAAAATGAGAGCAACAAGTTGATATTAACAAGAACTGTGACAAGATGGGGAATCTGTAAGGATTATAGAAGGTTGAACAAGGCCACCCAAAAAGACCATTTTCCACTGCCAATCATTGATCAGATGCTTGATAGATTTGAAGGGAGGTCCCACTTTTGCTTTTTGGATGGATACTCGGGGTATGATCAGATTTCTATTGCCCCGAAGGATAGAGAGAAATGTCGTTCACCTGTCCGTATGACATCTGTGCCTTTCAGAGAATGTCGTTTGGCCTATGCAACGCACCCACCACATTCCAAAGGTGCATGATGGCCATCTTCACAGATATAGTAGAGGAAATAATGGAGGTTTTCATGGATGACTTCTCAGTGGTGGGGAACTCATTCGATGATTGCCTTATGAACTTGAAAAGAGTATTGAAGAGGTGTATGGAGACTAATCTAGTATTAAACTAGGAAAAATGCCATTGTATGGTACATGAAGTATAGTCTTGGGGCACCTAGTGTCAAGTAAGGGCATTGAGGTGGATCATGCAAAGGTTGATGTAATAGAAAAGTTTCCACCACCCACTTCCATTAAGGAAATAAGAAGTTTCCTTGGCCACGCCGGTTTCTACAGGCGGTTTATAAAAGATTTTTCCAAAATTGCTAACCTTTTGTGTAAATTGCTTGACAAAGATCACCCTTTTGTATTTTTTGATGACTGCATGGTAGCTTTTAAGGAATTGAAGAAGAGGCTAGTGTCTGCACCTATCATAGTTTCACCCAACTGGGAACAACCATTTGAGCTGATGTGTGATGCAAGCGACTATGCTGTGGGAGCAGTTCTTGGACAAAGAAAAGATAAAGTCATGCATCCAATCTACTACGCAAGTAGAACCTTGAGTGGTGCCTAACTAAATAACACAGTGATTGAGAAGGAGATGCTAGCAGTGGTGTTTGCACTTGACAAATTCAGGTCATACCTGATAGGCTCAAAGGTAATTGTTTATACTGACCATGTTGCTCTTAGGTACCTAATTGAGAAGGAGTCAAAGGCGTGCTTGATTTCGATGGGTGCTACTACTGCAAGAATTTAACTTGGAAATCTGTGACCAAAAGGGAACAGAGAACCAAGTTTCCAATCACTTGTCTAGGCTGGAAGAAGCAGAGAAGAAGGTTGAGGTGGAAGAGATTATGGAGACTTTCCCGCATAAACAACTGTTGTCCACGAGCCTTGAGGTAGCGCCATGGTATGCATACATTGCAAACTACCTGGCGAGCGATATTGTCTCTTATGACCTTTCCTCTATCCAAAAGAAAAAGTTCTTTTGTGACTGTCGCATGTATTATTGTGATGGGCCTTATCTGTTCAAAATTTGTATTGATAACATGATCTGGAGATGTATCCCCGAGATAGACCAATCTTCTATTTTGTAGGCTTGTCACGCATCCCCAAATGGTGGCTATTTCTGGGGAGTAAGGACAACTACGGAAGTGTTAGAGTCGGGCTTCTACTAGCCAACTTTATTCAAAGATGTACACCTCTGGGTGAAGGGTTGTGATGAATGCCAATGAACCGGGAATATTTCTTGCCGACATGAAATGCCCATGAACCCAATTCAGGAAGTGGAAGTGTTTGACGTTTGGGGAATAAATTTTATGGGGCTTTTCGTCAGCTCATATGGCAACAAGTATATACTTGTAGCTGTGGACTATGTGTCAAAGTGGGTGGAATTTGTGGCACTTCCTATAAATGATGCAAAGGGAGTCACTGATTTTCTTAGAAGGAAAATATCACCCGTTTTGGCACTCCAACGACAATAATCAGTAAAATAGGCACTCATTTATGGTATTCGCCACAAGGTTTCCACCCCATATCATCCAAAAACAAGTGTACAGGTGGAAGTGTCGAATAGAGAAATAAAGATTGTGTTGACAAAGATCGTGAATGCTACAAGAACGGATTGGGTGAAAAAAATAGACGATGCACTATGGGCCTATCATACCACTTTAAAACTCCAATTGGCATGTCTCCATATAAACTGGTATTTGGGAAAGCATGTCACTTACCCGTGGAGTTGGATCATAGAGCTTGGTGGGCATTGAGGCAGCTAAATCTCGACATGGAAATAGCGGGTACAAGTAGAGTCACAGAATTGCACGAGCTTGACGAGTTCCGTTACCATGCATTTGAGAGTACATGGCTATATAAGGAGAGAATGAAGATGATGCATGGAAAAAATATTCTTGAGCGAAATTTTAAACCTGGAGACGTGGTATTGCTATACAATTTGAGATTGAAGTTGTTTCTGGGCAAGTTGAAGTCTAGATGTTTGGGACCATTCAGAGTAGTGTAGGTGCTATCAAATGGAGCTGCAGAAATTGAGTTCGACGATGGGACGAATAGGTTTAAAGTCAATGGGCAAAGGTTGAAACACTACGTAAGAATGAGTGACGAAAACAGAGAGAAAGATGTGATACAATTGAACGAACCTCAATATGTAAGTGAAGTGTAATCCGAAAGTCTGCGTCGTGCCGCAATGTTAAATCAAGCTCTTATTGGGAGGAAACCCAATTTTTTTGTTTTTATTTAGTTTTAATTCAAAAAAAAATCATTGGCACCTGGCGCTAGCTGGGCGTTGAACTGCTTCTGAACCCAGCTTTACTGCTTTTTTTATTTTTTATTTTAATTAATCGTATTATTTTTGTAGTGCTGATTTTTATTTTATAGGTGCATGAAAATAAATCCATTGGAAGGAAGCAAAAGCAAATCAGATAGTTCGAACTAAGTGTGGAGTGCCCGCACAAAGAACCAGGTCTGGGAGAAGTCTGAGTATCCCATGAGCTGCTAATGCTTCGCCCTTTGGCCTACCAGGGAGTTTCTTTCGCCTTCTTATTATTTATGGTGTGCATTGGGGACAATGTATAATTTTAAGTGTGGGGTGAGAAGATTGTTTGAGTGATTTTCTGTGGTATTTTAGTTTTGTTAGTCTATAAAAATAGGACTTTTCCTGACGATGGATCTCTCGGACAGCTTTCTTGAGGGATTAAGATCCAATGAAGAAATTCCAAAAATACTTATTTTTTTATATTTAGTTAGTCGTAGGTAGATAATAATCCCCCTTCATTTTTCTTTTGGCATCGGTTCTTTTCCAAGGATGTAACTTTAACCAGGTAGTTTTTATTTTTTTTTTTATTTTTTAGGAAATCTAGAGAAGGAAACTTGAGTGTTGTTATGTGCCTTTTGACCTGTTTGATGCTAACATATTTAGGCCTTAGAATGCAAATTACCTTCCTAACATGTTTTGATGAAAATTGATGCCGTGAAAGATTGAATAACATATTAATGACGCTTTCTCTCAGTTACTTGATTCATTGCTCATGTAGTGCTTTATTGCTTAATATTTTTTGACTTTGTGACTACTTGCCTAAACTTGGGAGTTGGAATGGGATCGTCCCGACTGGGGTCATGTGCATTATATGATGTGAGATTTTAATTACATTCTGTGCTATCCTGTGTTTGTCTAGAACTTGTCATATGTGTTAGTCAAAGCGAAATAAGTAAGTTTTGTGAGTCTAGAAGATGATGTAGGCATTCCTTTAATTGTCCATTGAGCTATTATGCCACCATAAATAAAATTATCCTTAAATAACCCATTTGAGCCTAGAAGCCTTCTCTTTGGCACCCACATTACAAGCCAATTTCTATTTTGTACTTAATTAAATCTTGTTAAACATTTACCTCCGAAACCACTTAAGTCGCTAGAAGAGTAAGGTGAGAGTTGGGATAACTTTTGAGTGAATCCATAGAAAGGCCAAAAGGTGCATGTATATTTTGGAAGATCATTAGCCGGACAACCTAAAATTGTGGAGAGTGTTGAAGAAAAAGAAAAGCACAAAAAATACAAAAAAAATAAAAAATAGAGAGAGAAAAAACAGTATATAGAAAATACACCTCCTATTCATCAGGATCCGAACTAGTGAATGTAGAGTTATGCTTAATGAAAAAGGGCCAAGTAGTATATGATTTCGTGGCATTACTTGAATTGGTCATGAAAAATGTGTAGTGGAATGTTAAGTGTAGTATATTAAATTTCTTTATCCTATCCGTCCTTTAGCCCACATTACACTCAGAAAGACCTAATTAATCTTAGACTTTGTGAGCTTAGATTAGTGGGGATATAAACTATGGGCAAGCCTATGGTACAGCCATGAAGTGCACATGAATTTCTTTGTGAGAGTGAATAGTTCTTTGTTCATATATGTTATGTCCTTAAATTATATGCGAATGCATATTTGAATGTGTGGACAAAATACCTTCTTATTCTTTGGTATGGCATGTGAGTCCATGACGGATAGGTAACATTATTAACCATCTCTTGTTGGATGAGTGTATGAGTTGAGAGTGCCTATTGGCGACAAGTTGGTCTTTGAGGTTATGGGCAGGTTGTTTGAGTGTTTTTAATTGGTCACTAATATTCTGGCATGTGAAAGTTGGAAAAGGTATGAATTCGTATGCAAGGGCTCAATTGTTGGTATCAACCATGGTCATAGGTGTAGTGTGTTGAATTGCCAAATGTTCCTCCAATGTACGATGTCTTGCATGCATTGTTTGGTTATCAAGGTTTTAGGTTGCTCGAGGACGAGCAAGAGCTTAACTGTGGGGTGGTGATGTTAGGTTAAAAATTCATATTTTTGCATGTAAATTGCCTTGCATTATACCTCAATCTTGTTAACTTTGGTGTAAATATTTGTGACTCGAGCTTAATAATGGTGTTTATATGTCAATTTGAAGTGATTTGGCAAGCTTACATGCAAAGTTAAGTAAAAATAGAAGAATTTTGAGGGGGTATGAGTTTGGTGCCCACTTTGGTGACATTCACCAACCAAAATGCCAAAGGCAGAATAGTGAAAAATTTCGGCATCCTGATTGGCGCCAGACGCCAAGCTAGACAGTTATGGCGGGTTTCGTCCTATTTTGGCTAGGACTTGGTAGTTTCAACCCTACACGCCCCCAACATGTATTAAAGGGGTTCTAAACCTAGTTCTTAGGAAAATACATTATTGGAGAGGCAAGAAGGTTACGAGAACACCTGGAAGCAACGAATCACAAGAGGTTTCTCTTCCGTTCTTCCTTAATTTGTATTTTAGTGCTTTCAATTATTATCATGATTGTTAGTATGGTTATGAGTAGCTACACTTTCTAATCTAGGGTTTTATGGAACCTATTAGAGGATGATTTTCTAATGCGTTTAATATATATTTGCCTTTGATTTTTCTCTACTTATTAAACTATATTTTCGTTGTTGTTGATTGAAGGGCTCTCAATTAACTGTGCCTATCTAGCGTGTATATTGCTCGAGAGAGAGTACATATTTAGGTAGTTGTTGAACAATATCACTCCTAACGTATGTGAGAGATCAATACGGAGGGTTTAAAGGAGAGATTAGAGATAACGAAACTTTAGTGCGATCATAGTGAGCGGTGAACTAGTGCCAACTGGCGTAGTTCGAGAGAATATGTCTAGTAAATTGTGGTAGTTTCTCTAGAGAGAGGTACGATACCCAAAGTGCTCATGATCGGTTGAAAATAATTAGGCGAATTTATAGGAAACGTAGCTGGGGAGATTTTGACAATAAAGGAAATCGTAACTCTAGACCTCTCGTTAATCTTTTCTCCAAACCTTAGTATCTCTAGGTTAAAATTTACTACTTTAACTAGTTAGTTAATTAGTTAGAAATAATATCTCAATCTTTATAATTTTTGAATTTGTTCAAAGTGATAATAAACAATTGTAGCAAAACCTTAGTTCTTTGTGAGATTCGACTCCGGGCTTGTAAACCGGATTATATTTGCAACGACCGCTTAGTTTTTTTTATAAGGCATAGTTGGCCGTGATCAATTCTGCAATTGCAAAGGGGTCAACCCTCAATGGCCGGCCAACCCTCACCACGATCATGAATAACGATCGTGGAAAGTCGGTTTTTTCGCCCAGTCTATCTCAAATGCCATCGCAGTCTAAGTCTTGCCTTGGTAGCCCTACTGTGTTTCCACCTTACTAGTTCTTTGTGATGATTGTGGCTCTCCTTTTGCAATTGCGGTTACTATAGATCCTGTGTTGGTGTAGAGTTCACATTTCAAACTTGTCCGGAATGCATCTGGAACCTTTGGAACTCAACTAAAATCATTCATACAAGTGACATTCAGTTATATCAACTTTGTAGCATGCTCAAAATATAATTTAGAACGCAAATAAGAAAACCGAAAAGTCAAATTGGTACCTAATGTTTTAAGCGTCAATAACACACAGGGG